TTTCAAGAAAATGACACTTCAAAATAGCTATTTTTTTCACATTTTTTTGCAAATAACTAACAAAATCATAATTGGAACTAGTTAACAGTTTGAATCAATGTATGATGTAAATCATTTTTTTTTCTAGAAAAAGAAGGAAACTGGTTAAAATTACTCCGTACATTAACTGTGAGGCTATTTTGAAGACTATTGCTGACAATTAACTTTCACTTTGAAGCTGTAGTTCATTTTTACGGGTTTAGCCAGAATAACACTAACTTTCAACTAATCATGATCCTGACAATAGATCACAGACTCGAAGAATTTGCATGACATGAGTGTAGACAACTATTAAGCGAGAATAGTGTCAAAGAATATTGCACTCAATCCTGATTGTCCTGTTGCGCTCTACGTCTCCCTATGTTTAGCTCATGTCTACCTTAATTCAAGAAACATGTTTCTTCTACCCACTCAAGATTGGGATTATTTTCCACTCCCTCTCCCCGTATTTCAAATTTTCTATCATTTCAATTATCTTTCGGGCTCTTTTCGAGTTCCCCCTTTCAAAATACCGAGTCTTATGTTTGTTTTACGTGTTATTACGGCTAAACGCGTGATGTTACGCTGTAAAGTATGAATGACAACGAAAATTTAGTTTTTCAAATGAAAACAATATGGGGTGAGGGAGTGGAAAAGAGCCGAGATTGGTAGAGCCTACTGAAAGAAATATGCTGGTCTTTTTTAGATGTGGGTTTATGCATAACCGGTCCCTAATTTTGTCGATGATAATATTTAACAACAGCTTTCTTATAAAATTTAGTTGAAAATTTATTGAACTGCGTCATTTATCTTGGTTATATAGTCGCATTGGTTTCCATGGGCGAGAATTTCGTGTCTTTCATATTTTAGCAACCCGCCACCCAGAATTAAAATGCAGTCACACAAGCAGAATATTTTCTATTTTGAGGGGTCTAAAGTTTAATTAGGGGAGGAGGACTACAATGGGAAAAACCCGAGGTTTCCTCACAGCATCTTGCATAGTTTGGACACTGGGTTGCATCTCGTTTGCGGTGGACATTGGAAGTGGTCGCTATATTTGGGGTCACAGATAATTCCCTGGCACTTGTAAAGTGGAAGGTTACACTCAAGATCGAAGGGACACATGGCGTCACTGTCGCAGTACTTGCCCATCACTACCTCCCCACCCCACACACACAGCAACACCACACCCAACACACAAATGTTAAACGAACTCACTGTCATTGCAACAAACTCGTACGTAATTCTCCAGTTGAGTCAACTTGTTCTGATGCTCAAAATTATAATTATGAGACGAAATCATGTGGTCGTAAATTATACTCAGGGATTACCCTCTCGATTTGAATTGCGTGTGTGATTAGTTGCAAAAATTAAATTGCACGCTCTTGAAACGAGCTGTGGCACATGGGTATAAAACAATTCGCTACTCTGCGGTTGCAAAAATTCCTCTTTCGGCTCTTTTTCCTTCCCCCCCCTCCCACCTCACTTGAGCATCAACTTTATCGTGTAACGCGTGGTTTTACAAAGTTAATTATGAAGACCAAATATGTTTGTCATGGCCTAATTAGTCTGTAAATTTTAGCGTGTAAATTTTCATGACAATCGGATAAAGTGAAAAAAAAATTTGCAGGTGGTAGGGAAAAGGAAAAAGAGCCCCTCTTTCCCCCGCCTTTCAAGTGCTCTGATTTTGTAATTGTTTTGTGTGTTGTTAGGGCTGCCCGCACTTAGTAAAAGTTCTAGTTCAGATCTGAAATAATCGTTTTTGGATCTTATTTTTAGATCTGAAATATGTTGTTAATAATTAAAATAACGCTTGGATACTTGAAGAATGGGTTATTTCCGATCTAATTTCAGATCTGATATGATCTGAAAAAATTTATTTCAGATCTAGTTTCGGCTTTTTTTCCTCCCCCCACATGCAAATTTTTACATGTAAATTTGCTGGTCACATTGTCCGATTGCTATGAAAATTTACATACAGACTAATAAGGCCACGACAAACATATTTGGTCTTCATATCCAACCTCGTAAAACCACTCGTTACACTAATATATTGAAGGTCGTGTGAGGTGGGGGGGTTGAGGAAAAAGAGCCAAAAACTGTTTTTGAAAAACTGAACAGCTCTTTTTCCTTCCCCTCCCCCACCTACAACTTTACAAGTGTTTTGAAACTGGCATACGAACAAAATTAGGCCATGACAAACATACTTTTCTTCATTTTTAACCTTGTAAAACCCCTCGTTACACCATAAAACTGATGCTTATGTAAATGTAAGGTGGGGGGGGGGGGTATGTTGAAGGAAAAAGAGCCACTTAGGAATTTTTTACCCCTTGTTAATCTAAACATAATTAAGAATTGCAGAAACAACAGAAATTCAAAACTGAATTGTTTGCTCAAAATGTATAATTTATAATTTAACAAAAGATTTCTCATATCTAATTTCAGATCTGAAATTTTGTTTTTCAAGTTTTTTTTGAGATTTGAAAACTTCTATTTCAAATCCAATTTTCACATCTGCAAATTTCAAAATATTATCAACATCTAGAGCAAAATTTTTGGATCTGAGAATCAACTTCTGCAAGAAATAAAGAATTTCAGATCTTGTGCAGAAAGTCCGTTGGGTTGGGGCAAACCCATTTTACTACCATGTAAAAGTTGATTAAAAAATCTGTTTAGAAAATTTAGTTTGTTCATCAGGCCAAATTTTCTTCCTCTAGCCATGTTGAAGAAGTTTTGAAATAGTGAAATTAAAAAGGGGAGGGAAACAAAATAGTTTAAACTCAATTGCAACGTTTTCTCGATTAACTCGTTTGCTGAAACTATTGAACGGAATCTGACATTGAAACGGTTCTTGTAGCTTTTTTGCCATATTTGCTTTTGATTTCAAAACATATTTTGACTGTCAGCAAAAACTAAACATATTTAGCATGGTGAAAAAATTATCAATTTTAATTTTTTTCCTTTTTTAATTTTTTTTCCAAAGAGAAATTCTTGAGTCTTTTTCAACACTCCTCACAATTTAATGTTTCCTGGTTATTTTTGTCATCTGACGATTTACTACTGTTAATTGCGTGGTATTATGATATAATGTGTGAAGTAAAAGTCTATTCACATTTCCTAGTTTGTTCACCAAGCCCAGCTTGCTTGAATTAGGGCCAAAAATAGGGTTTTTTCCATTTCCCGTCTCCTCCAATTTTTTCGGATTTTTTTTGATTTGCCCAAATTTTACAACAATTGGCATGCCAAAAAATGGAGCCATGACAAACGTTTTTGATCTAGATACTTGGATTTCTAAAAACCCTCGTCATACCACAAAATTTATGGCTTATGTGAGGTTGGGGAAGAAAGAAAAAAAACAAAAATGGTTTTTCAACAAATCTTTTAAGAAAATGGATTGGAAAGAAAGTCAGCCTAATTGTAAAATAAGTTAAAAAAAAAACAAATCATAGGTCGAACAGAGTCGAAACATATGTCCAGCACAGTCGAAACATTTTGGCACGGTCAAAACATGGTCGATCACGGTCAAAACATAGGTCGAGCATGGTCGAAACAATTTTGTGATCTAGAGAGTTGATATAATCATTACAAATAACACAGTTAGTCACGCGGCTTAAAACAGATCTTAGATGGATCAAACAAATATGCTCGACTTATGTTTTGACTTTGAAAGTCGAGCAAGTGATGATTTGCTACTGAAGTTCAGCGGTCGAGAACCAATTTTAAGTCGAGCACAAAGTGGGAACAAACCAGATTACGGGCAAAAAATTGAAAAGTAGGTCAAGATAGTCAAAACATATTCCAGCACAGTCAAAACACTCCAAGTTTTGCCCTAAAAATGTCGAAATATACCCATTTTTGGTCGAGACATAAGTCGAGAAAGTCAAAACATAGGTCGAAAAATTCAAAAAATACCCAACTTTGGTTGAGAAAGTTGAAACATAAGTCAAGCACAGTCGCAACATTAGTCGAGCACGGTCGAAACATAAGTCGAGAACAGTCAATACATTGGTCGAGTCTAGTCGAAACATACCCTTGTAATGACAATCGTAATGAGCCAAAACCAACTCATCCTTGTTCACAAGAAATAAGTCTACGGGTGATGACTTATTTTGGTTACGATAGAAGTACCAAATACCACGTGTTGTAGACAAAAAATGGCCTTAGTTCTCAAAGAAAAAGCTACCCGGGTTGACCAAAAATGCTAATCTTACATTTTTCTTATGAGGTCTATGATTAGCGGTTGCATGAAAAGTGTATGATTAGTGATTTTTCTTATTTGAAAATTGTATGACTAGCATTTTCGCATAAACTCAAAATTTATGATTTTTTTAAAATTTAATTTCTCAAATTTTTTTTGGGATCTGTTCGGGGCCGTACACAGGTGACAAAATCATAGTTTACTCAAAAGTAGAGTCACCCAAAAGTTTGATTGTCTTGCATTTACAATGCACTGGAAACGACCTGCATGGCATAAGATTTTTCGTAGTGAAAGCATCAAACTTTTAAATTTTGTCGAAAGTTTTCAAAGATGATTATTTTCAAAATTTGATTTTTCAAGTTATCAGAGCCTCTAGGCATACATGCCATGAAACATGCCATACAAAAGAAACAAGCGTTTTTAGCGTTTTTGAGAAAAATTTATCCAGGTAGACGGGAGAATATCCAATTTTTGTGTATCCAGCACTACGTTATGCACACGCAAAAATTAAATTTTGATTGTAAAATTTTTTTTGGAAAAAATTTGTTTGAGTACAAAATTCGATTTGCGGTTTACCTAGTATTTTCAACCCAGGTTTCATTAAGAATAATCCTTGTTCATCATCACTCCACTCCGCTCAAGCATCGAGAACCAAAAAATCAAGGTGATTTCTTTATGCATATAAAGATGGTTTCATTTTTTCAATGAACATTTGTAGTCTAATGCTTGAAAACTACACGTGCATAAAATAATCTGAGCCAAGGTGCAGGTGCTGTATTGTATCTCTATGTACTATGGTGTGGTGTATTGACTGTGAACAAGAAAAACAAAAACACACCATGTGCACTTGTGCTGCTGCTGCATTTAATCTTTCTTCATTGCGTTGATTGGTAACACAAATCCACGTTTTAATCTTTCGGTAAGTTTTATTACAATTTTGTTGATTGTACCAAAAATAATGTCGGCATTTTTCAAGCCATTTTATCGACGGTTATTGAAGTAAAAGATTGCTCCGACATAACCCATTAGTTATATGTATCAGTTTATTGGAAATATTCATCTGAAAAACATTTTTGATACGTTACAATTTGAGCAATAATTCTTTGAGAATTTACTGAAAAAAAAGTAGAAATTGCATTTTTCATTTTTCACATTTAAGGTAAATTTTTGCTACCAATCTATTAAACTGGTTGAAAAATCAATTAATATTCGGAGAATCCTTTATAAATTCAGTGTAACTATTAGTAGTGTGTATGCTCTAATCAAGCCTCGAATGAGTCCACAAGATTGTGTGTAGAGAAAAAGAGAATAAGACATGCCTCGGGCGAAGACGACGAATGAGCAGATAGCGGAGTTGAATGGCAAGATCACTCTGCTGGAGGGGGACAGGAAGGCCTTCGTGCAGACTAGCCAGTACAAGATCAAGAAGAACGACCAGAAGATCGCCAGTCTGCGCAAGGAGAACAAACAGCTGCACCACAAGTAACTCAAACAATTCATATCCATTCCAACGCTACAACGTTCAACCTTATCCCCTTCAGCTTGCGTATTCATCTCACAACAGTTTTTCAACCGTTGTTCGTTCGAGATTTGCAGTGATGATTTGGAAGTTAATTTTCGAAATCACCACTGCAAATTACCCTGCAAAGTTTTATCATCTATCCGGATTTTTATATAATTACTATATTCATGATTACCAAGTCATCCTAAGGAGAAAAATTCTATTTGGAGAAATATTCAAATTAGTATTGGTAGAGTTACTTGTATTGCTAGGCTTTTAGTTTTTAGCTTTCGATTGTTTCAATGAAATAGCAGAAAATTTTTTTGTTCGTACGGTGTTAACGTTGTTATGTGAAACTTTTTTGCTCAATTTGTTATAAGTTTCATTAACTATTTTGTTTTTGCGCAGCTCAATTCTGTTTGAAAGCTTCAGAGCGCAGCCTAACCATTTCTCTCTATAGCGGATTTACAGGGGGCGTATTTTCAAAAAAAATTTTTGTCAATATGGGGTCTTTATAGTGCTTTGGGAGAGCTCAGAAAATCAATTTGTTTCGAAATAATTTTTTTATTTCCGCCCCCTTCAAGAAATTTTTGATTCGCCCCTGCTTTTTCTAATGAAAGCATAATTTTTACATTTTTATTTTCTCTACCTTTCGAACTGATTGGAAGGCGTCGAGTGGAGCTTCATTGGTTGGATCTATTTTGCAGCAGTTTCTAGTTGCTGCTTCATAATAGTCTCGTGCTGACTTCGATATGTTGAACTTGTTGTGCAGGTATGCGTCGACACTGAACTGTGACGAGGAGGTGATCAATGAGACGTTCAAGGAGGACAACGAGCGACACAAGGTGGAGAAGCCTGCATTTCGGGGCAAGAGTACGGAGGACGCCATCCGCATCATGAACAACAAGAAGTGCGATGCTCTGAAGAGACTGAACAGACAGAAGTACAGGACGGAGGAGAAGAGACGCCAGCTGCAGCAGGCACACAACTCCCTCGAAGAGTTCGAACAGGACCAGAAACAGGTCAGTTGGGGGGGGGGGGGGGGGGAGAGACTTTTCTAGAACACCAATCAAACTGTACTCCACAAAACATCTCGCTTAACAGATGATCATCTGCATAGTTATTTAAAAATTGTAATAGACCGGTTGTTTTTACTGCAGATCACCCCGATGGCCCGCTATACACTAAGCGAAACTTAAAATTTTAAAACCCGGGTTGACCTCCATAAACAGAAAATGCGTATCGTACAATTCCATGCATCAAGTGTAGGAGAAAATGATAGTCATACAATTTTCATACAGTTTCAAAAAATGATAGGAAAAAAATTGAACTAACTTCTGCGGCTAATTAAAACAGTCCAAGGTGAAAAAATAGAATTTTAATTTTTTTCGCAAACAAATGTTTTTCATACAATTTCCATAAATGAAACCTTATAATAAGCGTTTTTCCCTGTTTGAGCAAAATGAAACCATTTTTGTTGCCTTCATTAATGTGCAAAATGCAAAATTGAAAAGGTCGGAGCTTTAGCATAGTTTTTTTTGACAATTTCTGTGATCTAAAAAACTGGAAGAGGTGGAGGGGGACAATCTTTTGCAGAAATTTTGATGCACGCTGCAGTCAATAAATACTTTATCTTTCTGATCAAACTGTTCTCTCAAAAACACTTGATTTTCAAAACAAGTTAGTTTTCCGCATAATTTCAGCTTTGTTTTCATCAGATAATGCATCAGATCTTTTCAGCAAAAAAATGTCAAAAGTTATAGTTTTTGAATTTTTTGGACCTGCTGAGAGAAATTTGGAAAAAAAATTATTTTCAGTTCAAATACTACATTGTCTGTGAAATCGCTTTATCATGGTACCAAATGAGATACAATTGAAGCTTCATTTTAGACTTTATAAAAAACGTAGAAATTTACCAATTTACAGTGCCCAACAAAACTCGTTTTTTTTTCATTCAGCGCGCAAATTTTCTGGCAAAAAAGCGTTCCTCACAAAAACCCAACAAAAACTTTTTTATTCTCTTACAATGGTTCTTTCATTGAATCCTTACCATTTCTGTACCCTACCCTAATATATCACACACCCTATACGCTATCCTAATAGGTAGCGCGAGAGACCGAAAATCTTTAGCTTATCTTAAAACATGGAGTCGCCCATCTCCACCCTTATGACCACCCCGAACATATGCTACTCGACACATTTTAGTAATTTTGCTTTGGTCACAACTTAAATTTTCTGAATAATCTGAATCAGTTTTTTATGGTTTTTAAGAAAATTTTTGGGCAAAACTCATTTTTGTCGAAACCGGTCCTCACGAGTTGTTGATAATTTTTGTTCTCAACTTAGAGCTCTCTATTTGCTTTATATTATTCTTCTTAACTTTTTCATCAGAAATTTCGAAAAAGTCAAAAAACAGCTAGTCATTCAACCGCTTTTTAATGAAGTTCAATTTCCGACTCAAGTGAGCTATTTCCACCAGTTATATTGGTTTTCTACTAACGTTGACTTTTAGCTTGGTTGTCCTGGAAGTTTTTGCCAAGCTTTTGAATTGTTTTTTTACGACCATGAAGAGTAACTAAAGCCTCGGATGCCATTTTTTCACGTAATTATGAAAAAAAAAATATAGCTTAGTATTGTTTAGTTTTTATTTTTAGTCACTTTAATGATTTGATTCTTCCTTAAAAGTCTATCTCAAAAAAAAACAAATTGGATTGAATTATTTGCTTTTTTGGTACGCACCAGACTTTCCTGAAGCTATTCCATTTTTATTTTAACTCACGCTGTCCTTATGACTCAAGCTGTAAAAACATTTTTAAAACTGTGTTGGATGCTTAATATCACACTGTCTGTAGACATATTAGCTTCAAAGCCCCCCACCCGCCCCTCTTTAAAACCACAACCAGCTAATTTTATTCATTTCAAATTGTTTTTACTTTACTCGGTAAAGATATTTACTGAAAATTCTCGTCGTAAGTTTGATTGACTGCTCAAATAGCGGGGCCACAGATTGTTATTTTAGTTTGCATCAGCAAGCACATTAAGTGAGATTTTAAGTTTGGAGATAATTATGCGTAAGCGAAAAAAAAAGTGTGTACCGCTATTTTCTCTCTACGCATATTCGATTGGTGATAAGTTTGGAAAATTAGTGATATGACACAGTGGCACATTTGAACCAGATTGTGGAGGAACAATGAGAGTTGGAGAAAAGCTTAAATAAGAGAAAAGCTTTTGTCAAACTTACTTAGTAGACAGACAGAGGGAGGCGTAAGATTTTAAATTTCAAAAATGCAAGTTAGATACACAGCTTTTCAACAAAAAAAATAAGGTATTCAACAAGCTGGATTCGGCAGCAAAATCAGTATTGTTTTCAATTATTGAAACTGAAAACTATCAACCTTTTTAAACTCAAGAAAAAACTGTATTTGAAAAATCTGTTTGCTGTGCACTAAAGCTGACTTGATTACAACTCAAGAAGAATTTTTATCAACAAGGAATGCACTCAAGAACGTCATAACACAAAGTGGAGATTCGACCTGATAACGGACCAGGTGATTTTTGCTGCACTGCTCAAAAACAACTCAATGGGTTGTCTGAATTTAAACTTTCGTGGAGTTGCCATTGATGACTTACCCCTTGTTGAGATAATTTTCCTAAAAAGCACCGTTATTTAGATGTTTTAGTTGAAGAAAATGTAGGAGAACTAGCACAAAGTAGTATAGGAAGATATGATGATTAAACAGTGTTTAACAATTATATCATCCATAAGAACAAAAGTAGTAGCTTCTTCAAGTACTTCGTTGTCAACTTTTTTTAAAAAATCAGAGTTCGTCAATGAGCGTTTTCCCCGGAGGCAAGGATGGAATAAAACAAAGTTCAAAAAAAGTTGTATAAATTTTGAAAAAAAAAACGAGAAAGTTTGAATATTTCGGTTTCTGAAGGTAAAAATTTTTCAATATGCTAGCACTCTGTGATTTGAGTCCCTTTGCGTTCCGACAGAATCCAATCTTTCGACCTAAGATTTGAGACAATTATATGTAATTTCCTAGACGCAGGTGCAGAATCTTTGAACCTCTTGTTTCTTCTTTTGCCCTAAGAACCTCTTTAAACTGAATCGATGTAAGTCATCTTTCAATAAATACCCTGAATGGCTCTGTTGGCTGAAAAACCACCAAAAATGTTTGATTAGCTTTCAAATTGTGTTTGCTTTCATCCAGGGTTTTGATTTCTTTATGATCACTCATGCTTATATATGTATCTGTGTTGTATGTGGTTTGTTCAAAAAATTGTGTTGCTCGAAAAAATGCAAGCTCAGTTAGTTAACTTGAAGTTTTTTCATACATTACCCTAACCAAATTTTGAGGAGTTAATTTACCTAAATGCGGTCAGATTCATTTCAAGTTCTGGACAAACATTTTTTGGTATGATATAACCAACAGCCCCAAAACAGCTTTAATTTTTGCATGAAAAAATTGTCAGTTATGTTTTTTGTATTTACTCTCTTTTATTTGTTGAACGTTAATCAGAGAGTTTTGAGGCCAAACTTAGCTGAGGATAATTGACTGTGGACGAGCCTATAAACACATTACAATCTCGTTGTGTAGTGATCTTACCGAATTGTTGCGGACTGCACACGCATTTAGTTGTAACATAAAACATTGAAAAAAAACTACTTTTCGACTTGTAGTTTGTTTTTCCAAAACCAACTGCTATCGAAATTTTTTGTGGTACATTCGCAGCTACCTGATTTTAAAAAATGAATATAATGATTGGGTAGTTTGTTGGCTTACAACAAATTGAATGTATATATTTTACTGACTTCATTTATATCAATTGAAAGATAATGATACCATCGCCAATATAAAAAAAACAAATCACAAAAACTTTGTTTCATTAAAAAATATGTGGAAGCGAAGATAATTTGTGACGTTATAAGATTTAAAATTTGACGATTGATCAAACTTTGGTATTTAAATTGCAATACTGAAACTGACCCAAAATGTCTTTTAGTAGAAATGAATTGCATCATTTAGAGAAAACTGTTTTTCAGTTTTTTGAAAAATTGATAAACAGTTTTGACCAAAATTCACTTTCAACACTTTAAATTTCATTAAAAAATTTTCGAATGTTATCCTTGATACAAGATTTTTGTAAGTTTGTTTCAATCTGAATCACATTAAATTGTTTTAGAGATGTCTTGTGAATTTTAGCAAAAAGTGAGCTAAACAAACTTCAATTTGCCTTTCAGTGCTCTTTTGTTATTTACATTACAATTTTTAGAAAGTACTGATTGATTGCTCATATAATGGGGTCGCAAATTATTAATTTTTTATCCTTAAGCCACCGATAACAATGGGATCAAAAATTAGACAGACAAATGCGCAAGAATGCAATAAACGCATCTTTATAGCAAAAAAGCAGCCATTTTTCCGTGCACATTATCGAATCGTAGTAATTTAAGATAGTGGTAACTTATTCCTGTTGATATCATCAGATGGTATAACTGATCCCCTGTCCTAGCAATGATAATGAGTCAAAACGAACTCTTCATTGTTCAAAAGAAATAAGTAGTATAAAGTTAGGTGGCGTAATTTGGCTATAATACAAATAGCAAGTACCGCGTGAATGTTGTAGACAAAAATGGCCTTAGGTCTCAAAGAAAAAACTAATTAAAAAACGCAATCTATAATTTGTGAAAGTTGCTTTTCATAGCCCCTTTGCAATTCGGGTAAAAAATTTTTTTGTAAGTAAGTTTGCTAAAAATAGCACCAAAATTTAATTGATGCCGCTAAGCTTGCTAAATTTGCTTTTGTTTTATTTTTAAATATCCCTGTGCTTGGGTGTTTGTATTGTCATCTTTGTTGTCCCGCAGTGACAAAAATGGATAAAAATCGATTAGATACTGAAAACTCTACAGATTAGCGTAAGTTACAATCGATTTATCTAAAATCATTTTACGAAAGATAATCGTTTCTATACAGACAGAATCGTTTTTTTTCCATTGAAAATAAATTGGTTTTAGTGC